ATTTTGATTTCTGTTTTTTTATCCATGAGAAAAGTCTTTCCACCAGCAGAGAACTTCCACGTCAGTGTGAGTTTTAAAAAGTGCGCGATGGAAACAAAATATGCAAATACATGTATTTTCCGCTAACCTTCCTCTAAGTAGCACTACCTTTATGCAGCATCGAGTTTATGAAATAAGCTTACTTCCCACCTTCAGAGGCCGAAGAAACCGTTTTTTCTTTTATTGGAATTCGAAATTTTACCAAACGTTTACAAAAAGAAAAATTTAAAAATCGCAAAAAGCGTCCGACTTATTTAGGAAAACTTATTTTCCAATAAAAGTTAATAAATCAGGAAGGTGTCATAATCTCGTAAAAGGGGAAACCCCCTGGGAGAATATTCGCGGCAATTTCATGTTAGGGGCCGACCATTTAACTTTTGAGGGGAGGGGTGGGTGATTTTGAAAAAAAATTTCCTGTAAGCGCTTGTTGGAAGAAAAAAATTGCATGCAGCCCAAATGTAATAGAAAAAACGTACCAAAAAATCGGAAAAAAATATCCTGCACAGCAGATTGCTAGAAAAAAATTTTCTTGATGACCAGCAATCACCCACCCCCCCCCTCCATCAAAAGTTAAATGGTCGGCCCCTTACATGTAGCAGGTTGTGGAGGGCGTCTCCCGTTTGACGCTCTGTGAGCGGGAAATTTGATTCCTAAATTGATTATTTTCGTGGTTAAATGTAGCTCTCCCACGAGTTAGACTTAGTGTGTGTCGCCAAGGCTTTAATACCTTAACCGTGTTAGACCTTATGTAACCTTTTGTGCTGTATGCATTTCGATCATACCGTTCTCAATGCACTTTCGCTGGATTTGTACATCAATAGTTTCTCCTTTTGGCGATAAATTCCTTTACCCCCATGACCTGATTAATGTCTGATTCAGCAGATATACTGTAAGGAAAAATTTCCCCTAAATAGCCCCCCACTCTCCCTCCTCCCAAATGGCTTTTCCCTCCGTTTCCTCCTCCAAGGGGTTCGTGTGCACGATAGACTGCACGTCACCATGGGAAAAATTAGCATCTGTCGAATTCGGTGATCTCTCACACATGTATGCTGCAGACTGGTAGTGCTTACATTTCCGTTAACAGGGGTTATGTACCGCCCAAAAAGCATCGTAAACCACTTTTAGGGAAGCACTCTCCCAATTGGATATACATACCTTAATCACAGGCGTACGAATTTGTTGACTTAACTCTACTTGAGCAATGATTTCACAAGAAAACGGCATCCGTTAACTGACAAATATTAATGTGGTCAGAGATTTTTTTAACATTTAAATATTGTTAAATGGAATCTAACATAGTTAACGACTAGGAGCAAGTCTGGTCTGTTGCGTTTGGCTGGCGTAATAGCATTCTTTTAGCGTTCGCCCCGCGTCTGTGTGCGTTCGTAGCGTTGCAGCAACATTGTGGCGGTTGGTGACCTGGGGCGAGCCGTGTCCAGCGGTTACCTTTATTAGTGCATGCATTGTTCTCCTATTTGCTTGCATTGTTTTGGCTGTACTATAGCGTGCCGTCGTCGTCCTTGAGGATAGCTTCTCGGTGTTCCCTCCTTCCCTTCCCATATTGCTTTTGTTAAGGGGTTTTATTTGCTTATTTGTCTCCTTATTTTCTTTTCCACTGAGCCTCCCGGCTTTAGTGTGAAGGGTGCTTGTCGGGGCTTGGCGCGGGGGGCTCGTGGCTGGGTTGCGGGTTGGGCAGGCCAGTCAGGTGTTCTAGTGCCTTGGGTGCGACTGCAGTTGCAGCCCCGGGACCCCTTGAGCACCTGACCTCCATTTGCGACTTGGGCGTTAAAAAGAAGTTGCTCAGAAGTAAATACTTTGACCATCAAAAGAGCGGACTTCCAAACGTGGTGGCTGATGCGAGTTCCTGTGCAACCCGGGAGTATAAAGTCTGGCATATGATATCAATCGCGATATCAAACCCCGGACTCCTTTTGCAAAAGACTTTACCTCTTCGCCGACAAAAATTTCTTGTTAGTAACACCCTAATAAGACCAATGTACCCTTGCATGCCTTATCAAAGTCTGATCTGTTCGTGCCATTTATTTCCTACAATCAAAGGATTATTGTTTTTACGATTTGAATTATTTACAAAGAGTGACGATGACTATGTACAGGAATAAAACCCTGTTGAACAGGTTTACCTACTAGGCGAGCTTTTCGAGATTTAAAAACTCAAGTGTTTGTTCACTGATACCTGTCAGCAATCTTTCCGTTCCACACTAAAAATTATCATGATACACATCAAATAAACTGGAACTTGAATGAGATAATCTTTTACTTGAAAAAATTAGTAAAACCTACCTATAGTCATCAAAATTGAACTAAGAACAAATCCTTTTTTGGGAACCAAAGGAGTAAGAAGAGAGAAATTAAATCAGAAAAAAGATTCTTTTGACAAGCATCGAAGGACAATTTTGAAAATCTTCACATGCGCTTAACTCCAGTGATTAAAAAGTTCTCTTACTGTCTGCATATTCTTACAAGGGCCTCCACGTCACTTGCACTGTTTACCAAGATTGACAAAACGCGGATATGGGGTAACACTGGACCACCAGATCCATTCCCAAAGCTTCATCCAAGAGTTCTGGGGGAAGCTCTTTCAAAAACGTACGCGTTGCTTTATCTTTCCGGGTGTACAAAGCGCGGATGATGTGTTTTAATGTATCGGGCAGTTTCAAGCGATCTGTAAATCCCAGAGTAAACTTCACCTCCGTTCTAGAGCTGTCCTCCTCGGAAATAAATTTGTACAGCGCTTTGTGGTGGTTATGAAATGTCGGAGAGTCGCTTTCGGACTGCGCACTGTTTGAGTAATCCATGATATCCCTTGTATTGCCCACAGAATCTTCATCGTCATCTTCGTATTCGTCATCAGCTCCTTCCCCGGAGAATGTTCTTGCAGATCGAGACGACGACGACGATGCTGGGGAGCCTACAAAACCCAAACGAAACATCTTGAAATGAAAAGTGATCGAAGGTAGTCACAGCGAGTAGATGGGGCTCGAAGAAAGGGAAGGGGGAGGGGAAGGGAGGGTGAGGAAAAAGATAATAATTCATGAAAGCGGACTACCTTACAGCCTGCGTTGAATACCCGCCCTAGAACGAGTTAGGTGACCCTGTTCCAAGGGCTAATTTATACCGATGTTCAGATCATTGATAACCGTACTGATTGCATGGGTTTGTTAGAGGTTTACGTCATGCATCTTTTTCATCGGAAAGTAAGATTTGCATTTGGAATGTTTATCGGGTGAATTCCGAGAAGAATAACAAAGTATGATTCACATTACATTTCTGTACCATTAATAGATATATACTGAAATAGAAAGTAAACACGTGGGTCAATAGACGGGACACTTCGAAGCATGCAACTACCGAACAATTCATGACGATTCTTATCTCATATCCCTTTATGAAAGAAACCTTTATGTCTACGAAATCTTTTAACTAAATTTTACCGGCTTTTTTCAAATTATTTTAGCACCCCCTAGTTATATTAACTGACTGTTTTGTTGGGGATTTCACAACAATTCACTCCACTTAACCTCATAGTTTGCTTCCTTAAGGTTTTCGATCTTGCGCAGATAAAGCAAACTTTTTGTTTAATAAGTAACCCACTTCCGTTAAATTCAGGAAACGAGAGCAAGTGTAGAGTTTAGGTAAACAAGTATCAAGCTTTAGAAACGGTTGATTACTTCAATTATGTCTTTCACTTTCAGCGCAACATGGAAAATTCTTTTCAAAACATCAATATGAAGAAAGAGAAAGATTGCAGTAGGGCGAGTTCGCATGTTCAATGTCAAGACTGAAAAAACTCACTTCTGTTACTGCGGGTTGAAATGTTATTAACCCTAATATCGGGAAGGCAATCTTCGTTCACAAACACTTTTCCTCGCTCGAACGGCGCGTGCTCCTCGGATACTGGCTGTTCTCTTCTCTCAGCTGATGGCTGTCGATTGAGATAGGGTGGTGGACAAACACAGATCATAACCCTGTGCCTCAGAAGGTACCGGCCTGTACAAAATGAAACCAGATAAGGAAAACAAAATGATTTAAGGGGAAAGTGGGAGGGGGGCAAAGAAGTTCCCAGGAGATGTGATTGGGTGGTTCAATGCTACCTCGCCAAACCAAATTAACAATGATCGGCCAAAGATCGAAATAAGGTGCCAGGCGATTTAATGTTTGAATATTTGAGTATAATTAAAATTCTTTCCAACTCCTTCCAGTCGCAATCTGTTTTCAATTCTTGTCTGATTACTTAAGAAGGTAGCGCGCAATTTCTACACCAATCTCATGTAAAGAGTGTAGTGAGGAAAGTAACGCATTGCATATCCTGTTCTGCGCACAAAAATCACGTAATCAGGCGAATAAACGCGCGCGCACTCCAAGAACACCGTATTGTTATTAAATAAATGGACCAGGTAAAAAGGTACGATGGTCTTAAGCCCTTGAACGAGTACGGACCTATATTTTTACTGCCTAATTTTGGTGTACAAACTATCCCCTTTAAATTGGAGAAATTGAAAAAAATTCATCGAAGGGAAAAAAGATATAATTAAAAGTGTACGCGAAAACCGTTACTCGTTAATGCATATTATGACCTTAAAAGCAACGACTCGAGTAACATTTCGAGTCAACGCCGTAATGTTTTCACAAATTTCATATCAAATTGTTCCATACGCTCGCGACTTTCTACCTATTAAGTTTATTTTTCAGTGTTACTTTGAAAACCCTTGGTTCCAGCTCCCGCAAAATGTACCGTGAACCGATGAAATGACACGCGCGATTAGTGCCAGTACAGGTATAAATGGGGGTAAGATTGGCCCATCATATCTCTTAAACAAGCACGGTGACCGATCTTTTTCATTATATTTTTTGAAACAGAGACTTGTACGGAACATTTAAGGAAAGTTTAAAAAATATTGTTCCATAACTCTTTTTTTTTTTTGAGGAATCACTTTAATTTCGATACCAAATTAAAATTTCTCTCACTTCAAGCCCACCTAACTCAAGTCCTGTTTCGGTCTCCGTGCTTCCAATGCAAAGACCCATATCGTCGTAACCATGGTTACGAACAAAGTTAACCACCCATTCCACCAATGCTGCTCCCGAAAAGCACTTGCGAGAAGTGTGCAGATCTTTGCGCATGGCTTGAATGACGCTATCCGCCGGAGCATTCGCATCAGCCAGACGTGAGCTAGAGCTCACTGATGACGTCAGTTCTTCATTCCGATTTTGTTGTCGCTCGGTTAGAACCTAGAGAACAGAAAGCACATTATGATAAATTAAATTCTTTCACCACTCCTTCTATTAAACGACTCGTATACAGAGTATGACAAGAGAGGTTGTTTTGAATTTGGCTTCAAACAAAACCTTACAAAAATCTAGTCACCAGTCTGGTCACCAAACCAGATGTTTTAGTCTTCCAGGTCAGTTGGAAAGCTTAGACAAATTGGTAACTCAATCAGTCGCCATTTCCAGCCATACTGATGTCACAAGCTGACCAGCCGACAATGATCATGGTCCACTTCATGTACGATTCTTGAAGGAGGTCAAGCTGTATATTTGGGACTTCCAGTGCTTTAAATGGCTCAACAGTGTTCACTTGCCAGTAATTCACAATAAGATGAAAGGAACTTCAAAATGTTGTTCCTTTTCTTATATCTCATGTTTTCATGTGTAAATTAGAGAAATACGTTTCGATCAGGTGTAAAATTATTCCTGTCCAAATCTATGAAACTTGGTTCCCTGATGGAGCGACTAGCGATTGTGTGTCGTAAAACTAAACTCAGGGAAATCGCAAGGGGTAAAACGAGTAAAAGAAAATATCATAAGGAACGAGTGAAAATGTTCAAAGGAAAAGTGGGCGGGTAGATTGTCTGAGGGGACGGAAAACGAGACTGTACAAGTCGCGTTGGTTTTTGCACTTGAATGGTGGCAAAACGTAGTCCTTCATTACTACTGACTCTTCCC